TGACTCTGACAGTCTAGTAAATGGGACTACATGGACCATAACACAGAAGGGGGTGGATTGTGTGGTGTTGGGTGTCTCTCTCTCTCTCTCCTTTCCCCATCCCTCCCCACCTTCCCCCTATCCACCAACGTTTAGAAAGGCCAGACCAGAAGAAGGCCCTATCCAGAACAGATGGAGCCGCCAGAAACCAACATGGACGTGGTATCGTATAACTGCAATGCTCTGTAGATTATTCTCCCAACATTGGGCCACGAACCAGGGGGGGGGCATCAGTGGGGGGAGGGGTTGGGGTCCGCAGTGCTTAACAGGGAACGCCGACAGCGACCCCACGACCCACGGAAACAATACCCTACCGGGACTACTGACGGACTATTGACGGACACCCACACCATACCGATTGACAGTACTAACAGAGACCAAGACGGCAACCACATGACTCGGAGATGACTCAGGCCTCCGGACGCACCCCCCCCACGGGTGACCTCCATGGCACCCAACAAACTGGACAACTCTCCGCCCAAAACCCACGGACGAACTACCCTGACGTAACCCGGGCCCATCTGTCCCCATAATCCCTCCCCTGACCAAACCCTGTGATCCCGACCCGTTACCGACCCAGCAAGCCTCCAGCACACACTGATGACCCTGCAGGACCTCACTACAGGAAGGGGATGCACGACTGTGGTGCCTAGACTGGGGACTCCCTCCACGGTGGCTTGTCACTAAAGGCTTGTAAAGTCAAACTCCAGAAACTGATTACCAAATGTTAAGGTTAATACGAATTTTTACCACCAAATGTTTTAAAATGAAAATGCCTAGATAAAGGGTAACTGTTTGTTCACGGTTCAGGATGCCACGGTTGGCATAACCACATGTTTAAATTGACAATGTCTAGACGAACGGTTGCTAACCTCTAAATGTCGAAGTTACCATGGATCTTTAGCGCTAAAGGCCTTTACCGGCAAGGCCCAGACAAACGATAATTGCTCGCTAACTGTTCATGTGCATAAGCAAACGCTTAAACTGACGATGCCTAGATAAAGGGTTCTTAATTGGTAACGGCTAAGGCTACCTTGGATTTATGCCTCTCACTGCTTATACTGACAAGGCCTAGATACATGGTAGCTGACAACGACAATTTCAGACTAAACGTTCAAATTAACGAAGCCTGATAAATGGTTACTAACTGCTAAATATTAAGGTCAACATGGATCATTACCGCTAAATGTATATACCGACATTGCCTAGCTAAAGGGTTACTACCTGCTCAATGTTAAGGGTGCATGCAACTGTTGTTGCACAAACTGCGTTACTACTGGCTACCTAAGGTCTCTATACTAACTGTAGCGCCCTGACGGCAGGGCTCGGACACCTCCAATACTTGCTCGAACCGACCATCCACTGACTCTGCCAGCGAGCAGAGACTCGTCACCCACACCCCCACGGGTTACTGCCCTTCCACAGAGCGAGCTCACTGGATTCACAACCCACACGTGAGCCCCGCCCTTGAGGCAGACCACCCCTTTTTCTTTACCGTCTCTACTGTCCCCACTCTCGACATAGAAGGGAAACACAGACAAAGAGAGACAGTACGCAGAGGGCGACCAAGGCCCAGACCATCCCAACACTACCCTAAACCCCCACGCATAACCCATACCCCCCCACGCTCACAACAGACTCAACCACAGCTCCTGCAGGGCGAAACAGACAAAGGGAAATACTCAGAAAACTATTTGAACCTCCGACCAACCCACGCATACCTGACGCCCCAACCACCACCCCTACTCCCTCTCTGGACCACAGTAAGGACAAACAGCTAGGGAGAAACAAACCACACCAGACAGATAGAAATCAAACCCTCATAACACACAGCTCACACACCAAACGCACGCCACACTCCCACACCAACACACAACGCTCCCCCGCGTGCCCCCAGCGGAGATCAACAGCCCACACACCCCCATGCACCTGGATCGCGGGGCGCCGGGGCTGGCCCCCGCCCCCGCCTGAGCAGACATGGCCCCCCCCCCGGCTACAACCCCCCTGCAGACACCAGAAGACACCCCAACCGGACCTCAGAATTTATACGATCAACGCTAAAGGGCTCAACTCCCCACAGAAACGAGCAAGGGCACTGAGAGAACTGAAATCCCTGCACATTTCTACTGCGTTCTTCCAAGAAACGCACTTTCAAACATCTAAACACCCCAAATTCTCAAATAAACACTACCCACTGAGCTTCCATGCCACCAATCCAGACTCCAAGACCAAAGGGGTCACAATACTCTTTGCGGCGGACATACCGTTCCGCAAAGAGGAGGAACTTGCGGACCCAGGAGGCAGATTTCTCTTCCTGAAAGGAACTATACATAACACGCGATTCACGTTCGCTAACTTATACCTCCCGAACAAGGGACAAAAAACCTTCCTAGGGCGAACCCTCGCATTGCTAGACTCCTTTAGTGATGGCAAACTAATCCTCGGAGGAGACTTCAACGCGCCTCTGGACCCTAAACTGGACACCTCAACAGGCCACTCGACCCTCCCGAGCCATGTCCTCTGAGGCATGAAAACCACCCTACACGAACTCCAGCTGTCGGATTGCTGGCGCGCCCTACACCACCAAGAAAAGGACTACACCTTCTTCTCCCCCCCCCACAACTCATACTCGCGCATTGACTATCTGTTTCTCTAGCATCGCCACCTGGACGACCTCCTTACAGCAACGATAACCCCCATGACCTGGTCGGACCATGGTCCGGTCATCATCACACTCACCTCACCAACGCCATTCCAGAAACACTGGAACTGGAGACTAAACGAATCACTACTAGAGGACCCCCTGATTCAACAAGACGTGAAAACACACATAGACCAATTCTTCCAAACAAACAGCGCTCCGGACACCGCCCCGGATAAGATCTGGGAAACGCACAAATGCGTGATTAGGGGCGTCCTGATCAGACATGGTGCGCATCGCAAACGACAACACACCCGAGAAACGGCAGAACTTGCGCGAACGGTGGCGGACCTGGAGAAGCAACATAAGTCTACCTTGGCAGATGATACATACTCACAACTAGTCATTGCCAGGGCAAAACTCATCTCTCACCTATCCCAGAAGATCGCGTTTCAATTCAGGCAAACGCAGAAGACTTTCTACGAATACGGTAACAAAAGCGGGAAATTACTAGCGAGAGCCCTGAGGAAAACCAGACAAAAAAGCTTCATATCTGAGATTAAACATAATGGAACCACCCACAACACACCGAAATCAATAGCAGAAGGATTCCGCACTTATTACAAAGCACTATACAACCTCCACAGCCAGGACGACACCGGAGAGGGGTCGGACACCACACAGACCCAAAAACGTAACGAGTACCTCACCAAGTATCTCACCAACACAATGGACACAGATACGGCCGACGCCATGGAGGAGCCGATCACAGCGGAAGAAATATCACAGGCCCTAAAAATGGCCAAAAGCGGGAAAAGCCCAGGCCCGGACGGCTTCACGATCAAATACTGCCGAACATACCAAGACTCACTGATCCCGCACCTACTGAACATGCTAAACGCACTCAGACAAGAGGGGACCCTCGACCACAACACCTTGAGAGCACACATCGTGGTGCTACCCAAGGAGGGCAAAGACCCCACGACTTGCCCGAGCTACAGACCAATCTCCCTGTTGAACGCCGACCTGAAACTCTTCGCCAAGGTTCTGGCACTCCGACTCCAACCAACCCTGCCACAATTGATCCACCCAGACCAGGTGGGGTTCATCAGCAATAGAGAAGCCAGGGACAACACCACCAAAGTAATTAATCTGATACAGGCGGCCAGGAGCCAACAGACGCCTGCACTCCTGATCTCAACAGACGCGGATAAGGCGTTTGACAGGGTAGATTGGACCTTCCTCTTCGCAACACTACAACATCTAGGACTGGGACCAAACATGAGGAGATGGATTGAAGCCCTATACAGCGGACCATCCGCGCAAGTCTACGTGAACAGCACATTATCTACACCATTTCAGATACACAACGGTACCCGGCAGGGTTGCCCCCTCTCGCCTCTCCTGTTCGTGCTAAGCCTAGAACCCTTCCTGAACGCGATCCGCACCAGACCGGATATCGGGGGCATAAAAGGCACATGGGGGGAAAGCAAAATCTCGGCCTACGCCGACGATCTGCTGTTCACAGTCCGAGACCCGCAAACATCACTTCCGGCAATCATGCAGGAATTCGAAACGTACGGCTCATTATCCAACCTCCGCATCAACTACTCCAAGTCGGAGATCCTACACCTGGGATGCGACCGCGCCCTGATTGCGACCCTTAAAGCACGATTCCAGCTCCACTGGCGCAAAGACAACCTCAAATATTTAGGTATATGGCTCACAGCGGATCCCTCCCATCTGTTCAGACAAAATTACCCCCCCCTCCTGGAACGCGTCCTCAAAGACCTAGCAGAATGGGACGTACCACACATCACCTGGCTCGGCAGAGTGAACGTCCTTAAAATGAACGTCCTCCCGCGCTTCCTATACATGCTCCAAACGCTCCCGGTACTTATCCCGCAAGCCTTTCTGACCCAGGCTCGTTCAGCCCTCATGAAATATGTCTGGCGGAATCGACCAGCCAGGATAAGATACGACATCCTTACAAAAGCCAAACCGCAAGGCGGACTGGGACTCCCGGACCTGACCAAGTTCCAACAGGCTACCCACCTACAACGTATAGCCGAATGGACCCTGGGGACAAAAGACAAACTCTGGATAGCCATAGAAGCCAGCTTCTCAAAAGACCCTCTGAGCTCGCTCCCGTGGCAACTCCAAGGCCAGACGAGAAGATATGACACCAGACACCCCACGATAATGGCAACAATGAAGACGTGGAGCAGGATGGCAGGGAATCAGGACCTCGCCCCACCTGTCTCCCCTCTATACCATCTCTCGGGCACAACACAATTCCACATGATCAACAACTCCCAGACCTTAACTAACTTGGGCCTCCCATTCCCGTGCAGGCTACAACACGTCCTAGTGAATGGGACCATTCCCCCGTTAACGGAACTGCCCACACCCACCCCTCCTGACCACATGACTAAATTCCGATATCACCAACTGGGGAGCGCACTGAAGCGAATCCCCAATCTACCCTCAGCTGCTAGACCCCTGACCACGTTTGAGGCCATCTGTACACAAGACGCCCCCACGCCGCACGCCATATCACTCCTGTACCGACTACTAAACTCACCACAGGGAGACACCCGACTTCCCTACTTCACCAGATACTGGGAAAGAGACCTTGGGCATCCGCTGACCCAAGACCAATGGACCACAGCATTCACGTTGACACATAAAACCTCCATAAGCACCAGATACCAAGAATCGGGATACAAAATGATATCGCACTGGTATAAAACACCAGAGAAACTGGCCGCTATGTATGACACAAGTGCACCAGAATGTTGGAGATGCGGAACTGAGCTGGGCACGCTATACCACATCTGGTGGACATGCCCCCGGATTAAACCCTTCTGGCAGGAAATACACCAGGTGGTTACAACGCTCACAGACAACGCCATAGAACTCACGCCAGAAAACTACCTACTACACCTGACTCCTCTGCAACCCCCCGCCTACAAAAAAACGATCACCCCGTACCTAGTGAATGCGGCACGTAGCCTAATCCCAACATTCTGGAAAAAATCCACAATACCAACCCTGACGGACTGGATAACAAGGGTAGAAGACATAAGGACTATAGAGGAAATGATCCTGACTGCAAAAGAGAGACCCCAGACATACCTGAAGACATGGTTCCACTGGCTACAATGGCTAACCACTAAACAAAACCCAGGAACGCACCCACGACGGATGGACAACGACGGTTGAGGGCCTACGGATCACAGGACAACACACCACGCAGACCAGGAGCCCACGGCACACACACCTGGAGACAGGGCACCTGAGGACCAAGGCAGCGACACCCGAAGACAGCAATGGTAACACATGCAACAGATTGGGCCGACGGGGGGCCGGGCGCCGGTGGGGCGCGGGGGCTCCGGTCCGGCGGGGTGACCCCACCTCAAACCCCCTCCCAGGAACATGACATACTCCCCTACAAAACACTAAGACAGAACGACCTCGGACATACCACCATAGGGCCATGCTATACCACACAGAACACCCGTCCCATCCCCACGGTCCTAACCTTCACAAGGCACAAGAGACACCATCACGCCCAAGCGGAGAGGAGGAGAAAGGACACCCAAGATCTCCCTCCCCACACAACCACAAGCCACCCCCGCACATTGCCCCAGGGGTCGAGACACGAACCTGCCCTGAACCACCACTGAACCCGACCGTGGACATGGAAGGATGAGACCGGGGTGACTGAGACCGGACTCTTAAGACCAGGGCACCACGCTAGATATGGGGAAGCTGACACTACCTATAGAAGCCCGCCAAACGAGTCCCCCACCCGTCGGGACCATAAACCATCGCCCCCAAACTACTAAACCAACACCACCAGCGACACACACACAAGAACACATACCCCACACTCACAACCACACGAAGACATACAGATAGCCCGACTGACCACAACCCGGAGACAGCCTCAAACCGAGAGAAAGAACACAAGGGTGCCACAGCACGGGCTCTGAACACAGACGCTCATATAAGGCAACCAATGGGGACGGACTGCCTTATCCCGCAACAAAAACTGACCTAGATACATTATATAGCACCCTAACATCGGCTAAACAATTCCTTACGGAAGACACGCAATGGCACCCACTGTGCAATATATCGTAAAACAATATCACCATAGTCGCTACGCCCTATGAGATCACATACCCAATCTGCTCAAGAAAGGCACAAAACAAAACAGGATGCCGGCCTCAAAAAATTAAAAAATTTAAAAAATGTAAAAAAAAAAACACAGGGACCATGTGTTATAAGCCTCTGCGTAGGATACTGCTGTAAAACTACTGACGACACGACCCCACATCCCAAACCATACTAAGTATACAACGCTACCCCTGCGTGGGTAAACTGCTCGCAATCAGAGTTTACGAAATGCCCATCATTACCCAGGTCGGAATGACTACGAAATATGTAATTAGCCTTACTCTTGTCTGTTTGACGTCATCTGCCTCTGTATAGGCAACAATGCACCCTCTTTTCAAATCTGTTATATGTCTGCTAACATGTTGCATACGAAATAAAAAAAAAAAATATTGGATTACAACTTCTGACTCCTCTTTTCTTTAATAATTTTTATATATATATATATATATATACATATATATATATATATATATACATACACACACACACACACTTGAACAAATAATATCACTATATATAAATAAAAATAATTACAAAAAATATATATACACATAAAGCAAATAGTGAACAGAGCACTCCTTAGGAAATTTTCAATTGAGTATTTAAGTAATCTTGATTACTTATTAAATACATGATTAAAAATTTCTAAGGAGTGCTCCATTCACTATTTGCTTTATGTTTGGCGCTGGAAGCACCCAGGTATTACAAGTTATATTTTTTAATGATGGTGAGTTGGATTTTATATATATATATATATATATATATATATATATAAAAAAAGTTTCCAAAGATAGCACTCCAGGGACTTGAAAAAAGTTCGCTTTAATTACCTTTCAAATATCCAAAATGTCAACGTTTCAGCCCAATAACCTTAGGCTTTCATCAGGACATAATGTGTATACAGATAAACCCACATTTATACCATAACATAAGTAATAACTCACCACACTTGTGAAGTGACTGACTCCATGGACGCCCGGACCGGGACTGCCGCCGGCCAACCCGACGCACGTCTGCAGCCGCACGGCGTCACGTTCAATGACGCGGCCAAAGGTCGTCCCCATAACAACCTAACAAAACAAATGTGATATAACACACTACTCTAATTCTAAAAACAATGTATCCACTATCTTGCGCTAATTACATGGGGATATAATCTTTCAATTATTTATACAGTATATAAATCTGACCATTATATTATTTACAGCATGTTAGATATATAAATTAAACTGAACGGCTGAATAAGCCGTCGGCTGAGTTAACCATAGCTACCAATAACTCCGAATTTATGCAATTAGGCTTGTCAAACTAACCAAATAAAGATCCTGTCAGAATCACGCGGGAAAAGAGTCAGTTTCAAGGGCATAAATATAGATATAAACATGAGACTTACCTAATCCAAAAATCCCATGTGTATCTCCATATTAACACATTAATTTACTAGAAAAATATCCAGAATTACCACTCATATTATGATTACAATGAAAACAAACCCTTATAGAAATAGGGGAGTGGAAATGGGATTTTTTAGATATGCTCAAACAAAAGAATTTTTTCTTTTCAAAACTGTCCCATAACAATTCTATCAACCCAAGTTGCCACGGGTCAATGAGAGGTGACATCTCCACGTGGATGGACAGCCAATATTCTCAAAATTAATGACCAAAGGAGATAAGTATACATTGTGGCCAGAGAAATATAAACATGTATGCCTATCCCCCAGGGTGGGCATAACATAGTTCTTCTCATTGCCATCACTGTAGGAACAAATGTATTATTTATAAAAATGCAGACAGAGAATATTTTTCATTAAGACCTTCTGGATATACTGTTCTCAATGTTCTAATCCAAAACAGATCTCGTTGTAACAACAACTTCTTGCGGTCGCCTCCCCTGCGGAGAGGAGGTATGTGATCAATTGCCATCAGTTTTAAAGTTGGGAGCATGTGTCCTTTCTCCAAAAAATGTTTAGCCACAGGTAAGTCCGATTTCTGGTCTCTGTATGCCACCCTTATATTAGATCTATGATTGCGAATCCGTTCACGCAAGGGTAGATCCGTCTTGCCAATATACGTGAGTCCACAAGGGCAGGTTAGCTTGTAGATTACAAAATCAGTGGTACAAGTTAAACGATGTCTAATAGTGTATTTCTTCCCTGTATGGGGATGGGTAAACGATTTGCCAGATAGCATGTGCCCACAAGTGATCAGTTTTGAAAAGAAAAAATTCTTTTGTTTGAGCATATCTAAAAAATCCCATTTCCACTCCCCTATTTCTATAAGGGTTTGTTTTCATTGTAATCATAATATGAGTGGTAATTCTGGATATTTTTCTAGTAAATTAATGTGTTAATATGGAGATACACATGGGATTTTTGGATTAGGTAAGTCTCATGTTTATATCTATATTTATGCCCTTGAAACTGACTCTTTTCCCGCGTGATTCTGACAGGATCTTTATTTGGTTAGTTTGACAAGCCTAATTGCATAAATTCAGAGTTATTGGTAGCTATGGTTAACTCAGCCGACGGCTTATTCAGCCGTTCAGTTTAATTTATATATCTAACATGCTGTAAATAATATAATGGTCAGATTTATATACTGTATAAATAATTGAAAGATTATATCCCCATGTAATTAGCGCAAGATAGTGGATACATTGTTTTTAGAATTAGAGTAGTGTGTTATATCACATTTGTTTTGTTAGGTTGTTATGGGGACGACCTTTGGCCGCGTCATTGAACGTGACGCCGTGCGGCTGCAGACGTGCGTCGGTCAGCCGGCGGCAGTCCCGGTCCGGGCGTCCATGGAGTCAGTCACTTCACAAGTGTGGTGAGTTATTACTTATGTTATGGTATAAATGTGGGTTTATCTGTATACACATTATGTCCTGATGAAAGCCTAAGGTTATTGGGCTGAAACGTTGACATTTTGGATATTTGAAAGGTAATTAAAGCAAACTTTTTTCAAGTCCCTGGAGTGCTATCTTTGGAAACTTTTTTTGTATTTTGGCTGACAAGCACCGGGCATTATATTAATTAAGAAGGTGGAGTGCAAGATTATTCTCAATTTATATATATATATATATATATATATATATATATATATATATATATATGATGGAGGTTGGATTATATATATATATATATATATATACACAAACACGTGTATATGTATATATATATAATAATTAGTGATGTCGCGAACCCGAAATTTTCGGGTCGCGAACTTCCGCAAATGTTCGCGAACCGGGCGAACCGCCATAAGCTTCAATGGGCAGGCGAATTTTAAAACACACAGGGACTCTTTCTGGCCACAATAGTGATGGAAAAGTTGTTTCAAGGGGACTAACACCTGGACTGTGGCATGCCGGAGGGGGATCCATGGCAAAACTCCCATGGAAAAATTACACAGTTGAGACAGAGTCTGGTTTTAATCCATAAAGGGCAGAAATC